GGGAGCGGGAGAGTCATGGCGAGGGAAGGGAGGAGAAAGGCGATGGCCAGGGTAGGGGATGGGAAGGGCAATGACGATGAGGAGGAGGGTGATGACGAAAAGGACAGCGGAAGGGGAGGGGGGCGGCGGGAGGTGGACAAGGCCGAAGTGGAYGACGACAACAAAAGAAAGAAAAAAGACTGACAATGACGACAAAAACAAAGGGGGCAATGACAACGACCACTACAAATGACGAAGACGAAGAAAAAGAGAAAGAAATTCTGTCTTCTTTTTCCTTTTCTTTCAATTCCTCATCTTCTTCTGTTTGATCTTCTCCCTTTTCATCTTCATGGTCGCCCTCATGTTCTTTTTATTCATCGTTATCGTCGTCGTATTTTTCTGTTTTCCATCGTTACCTCGTCATCATCATCCTCCTATGGCTACGAGAAGGGGAGGATTGGGAGGAGGAGGAGGGAAGGAGGATCTGGGACGAGGAGGGGGTTGACGATGGCGAGGGGAAGGAGGAGAAAGGTGGTGATGGCAAGGGGAGGATTAGGTGCGTCCTCGTCGTTGTCCTGGTGATGATGGCAAAGGCAGGATTTTATGCATCCTTATCGTTGTCCTGGTTGCAGCTCTCTCTCTCTCTCTCTCTCTCTCTCTCTCTCTCTCTCTCTCTCTCTCTCTCTCTCTCTCTTACGCCTGACGACAACGAACAAGAAGAAGAAGACAAGGGAGAGGAGGTAAGAAGGAAAGAAGAAGAAGAAAGGGGCAGAGGGAAGTGAAAGACGGAAGCAGAGAAGGAGGCAGACAGGTAGACAGACAAGGGGGGGACCGATGGGTGTAGCGCAGTTGGTACACCCATGAACATTTGAAATACAGACCCAAGTTTGAATCCAGATTGACAGAATCAAATCATTCTGAGTTACCTGAGGCCGGTGAGTTCGATCATGATATCTCAAGGCCGTCACCGAACGAGGTGTGAGATGGCAGAGACAATTTTTGAAGCGATTGATCATCAATTCCTTTAATTGGTTTTTCTATTCTTTTATTTGTGTTTAAAGAAAACAGAGATAATTGTTCCAAATTCTCTAAAATAGAAGAATGTTTACCAAAAAAAACGTTCACATTATTATTTAAATTCAAAAAAACTGGATGAGGTTTTAACTGAGCAAGTTATGGCTCAGTTATGGTGGGCCAAGGAGGGTGAGGAGGGTGACGACACAGGAGCATGAGGAGGAGGCAATGGCGAACGTCCTGTGCATCCCTCACTGCCTCCAAATGCGGKGTCAATTCCCGCCGCCCCAACTTGGACGACCCTCGGCCTCCCCCAAACCAAGCCTTCCGATTTCGAATTTGAATTTGACCTGATCTGGGCCACCGATCTGCAGGGATAGACGGCCCAGATCAGGCCTTTCTTTGGGGGGGATTTCTGGCATCCCAAAGGCCAATGTCATTTCCTTTTAGCATGCACTAACACGGGGGCACCCGCACCCGCCCCCCCTTCCAGCCCCAAAAAGAAAATCCAGGCCCTATGCATATTTCACGCAGGGCCCAGAGGATTGCCATCAGGGACCACCCGGGTGGTCGGAACCATCCTGTTCCTGACAAATCCGGACCAACCCGATATCTAGATGGGCTACACTTAAAAAAAAAAAAAAAAAAAAAAAAAAGTCTGCGTTGTTAGATGTCTAGTAGGGCTACTAAGAGCATGGGCCTCGCTCCACTACTCTCGAAATGTGCAAACGAGAGTGAACCTTCCGCTAGAACATGGAAAGATGCACCGCCATCAGTTTTGAGTTTTGTGCAACCTGCGGATAGAATGAGCTAAAGAACCAGCACTGTCCCAAATAAACCGTGAGGTCGCCAGAGAGCCAGCGACCACCATGAGCCGCAAGCGAGACAGACGGATGATCGAAGAGCGGCTGAGGGGGGAGGGAGGAGAGCGAGGAGAGGGAGGAGAGGGAGGAGAGGATGGGGAGGAAGAGCAGCCGAGGGGGAGGGGGAAGCCAAGAGGGAGGAGAGGGAGAGAGGATGTGGAGGAAGCGAGGGCGGGAAGGAGAGAGCGGAAGGAAATAGGGGGGAGGGGGGGGAGAGAGCGAAAGGAAGTAGGGGGCTACCACTATGGGCTGCAAGTGAGTCAGAAATGCTGGAAAGGAGAGGGAGAGAGAATGGGGAGGAAGAGCGGGTTGGGCGCGGGCCGGGAGAGGAGAGTGAGAGAGCATGGGGAGGACAAGCGGTGGGAGAGAGAAGGAGAGAGCGAGCGGAAGGAAGGAAGGAAGGAAGGAAGGAAGGACGCAAGGAAGAAAGGAAGGAAGGAAGGAAGGAAGGAGGACCAGTTAGATACCCCTGTAGAGTTCAAGAACTGAACACGGGAGGGATGGAGATTGAGAGAGAGAGAGAGAGAGAGAGAGAGAGAGAGAGAGAGAGAGAGAGAGAGAGAGAGAGAGAGAGAGAGAGAGAGAGAGAGAGTTTCTTACATATCTCTAACG